TTGCTTGTAAACACCTGGAAATTTATACTAAAACAATTAGTCGCCTCAGGCTCGGTGATTACAAGCCTATATTCACTTCGCCTTCGGCTCAGTGAATATAGGCTTGTAATCACCTCGCCTTCGGCGACTAATTGTTAAGTAGTAGTAGTAGAACTTTATTTATCCACGCTGACCCCGTCAACCGTAGCCGATTTCCACGGGGGGCGTGTGCCAGAAAATTATTTTACATGCAGAATATGATAATGATAAGCTAAGCTATTTACAGTAATATATAAATTTAAAAGATATAACAAATATTTTGAGCTATTTACAGCCGGGTAAATTATATTTAGAAAGGTTACCAAGCACTAATGTGAGCAGTGATTTTATTTCGAAAGGAAAAAAGTGACTTGCTTTCCCTAATTTCTTTTGGTATAGAATTCCAAATGTTTGCTCCGTCGTACATAAAACTATTTTTCATGCTATTTGTACGTGGTTTTGGTAAATAAAGACCACTTGAGACATCCCGAAGGTGGTAATTAGTTTTCTCACTCTTAAACGAAAATAGATTTGTGAGTGATTTTGGGCCCATTTTGTTTAAAATAACTTATACATCATTCTTGCTTTAGTTTTCTTCGTAACTCAAATTTGCAATTTAAACGACGACAATTCAAGCTGCATATCCGTTAACAAAATAAGGCTTTGATGTGTGTTTCCGACAATGTTATAACTTAAATAAAATACATGATAGTATAGTGTTGGGATATATCATTAAGAACAGCTAAGGAAGGTCGCGTGGCTGCCAACTCTCATACAGCACTCTCATCCTCGTTTGATTCGGGCTTACGACTAGGTTAATTAAGACAATCAAGATCCCCTTTGATATTGTTCTTGCATGCTTTCACAGTGCGTGTTTATACAGGTATGTTCCGCGGCAACACATGTTTATTTGAGCTGGATCGATCCCCTCATGTCAACGTGATACTATCAAGACCAAGTTGTAACGTAACGTAAGGAACCTAAAACAGTTCTTTGTTTTGGGAAGTTGAAGAACTATTCCCAAAAGTTACAAAGTTTATTACGTTTATTATTATCGACATGGCATTCCCGTTAGGGCCGCTTTTCCGTTCTTATGTCTAGAAAAAGTCGGCCCCTTGATAGCGCCTTGTTTTGTCTATTGCATTGAAGACGTGTCAACATTGTCTGTCTGTCTGTCTGTCTGTCTGTCTGTCTGTCTGTCTGTCTGTCTGTCTGTCTGTCTGTCTGTCTGTCTGTCTGTCTGTCTGTCTGTCAACTTTTCATGTTTAACAAGTCCTGCTTTCAGACGTCCAACAATTTATTCATGAGCCGAACTTTTAAGTTTGCATGGATTAAACTACAAATGGCTCAAATGAAGAGACTGACATCAGTATATAGGGCTAGTGGAAATTTAATTTATAAAATAACATGTATATAACGCGTGCTCTAATTGGTCGAAACCCGTGTTTGGATCCGACCATCCAAACACGGAAATTTAAAGTGAAAGTTTTTTAAAGTAAAAATTTTAACACGGAAAGTTGTGATTTTATCGCGCGCTTTTCTGAACTCTCGCAACATTCCCACGTGTTTGGATCAGGCCATCCAGACACAGAAACCATAAAGTATTTGTATAGTACTGGGGTTTGCCATGCAGAAATTGTATCAAGTGGTAAGTATATATACCGACTGTTTTCCGTTTCCGTGTCTATAATAACAAGTAATTAATTTATGCAAATCCGCAATTTATGTAATTTTGAGCCTGCAGGTCAAACCGCATACTGTATTGGATTTCTAGCCATTGCTAAAAAATTGTACAAATGTCGGTAAATTTTTCGT